TTTTCAAAATATTATAGAACTTGTTATACGTAATCACTATTTCCTCTTAGAAAACAGTTTTTAATTTAAAATGACATGCTATCAAGTGATGTCTCTAAAAAAAATCAAGTAACTAGCTGGTGTGCTGGCCTATGCCTGTAATCTCAGTTATTTAGGAGGTTGAAGCAGGAAGACTTCAATTTTAAGGCCAATCTGAGCAACTTTGTGAGACCCTGTCTCAAAACAAAATAAAATGGGTTTGGGATGTATCTTAGTGATAGAGTGCTTGCCTAGCATGTATGAGACCCTATGTTCAATCCCCTCCCCCAGCCAAAAAAGTGCTAAAAAGACTAACCACGTTTATAGTAAACCCTTGCCTTTAATTTGTAAGTCAACTAAATTTATTGTCGTTTTTTCTTACTTTATGGATGGCAATATACACTCAGAAGAAAAGGCAGGCCTAAAAACAAAGTCGTGTATTATGAATACTTTTTTAGTGATTTCCTCAAATCTCCAGATTATAAGAAAAATATGACATTTAATAGAAAATAAATAGCCTGTACATGTAGTGACAACTGCCTCATATATCAAAATGCCACTTTCCTTTCTTTCTTTCTTTTTTCTTTTGTGGTTATTAACTGTTTCAAAGAGGTTAAATATTTTAAAATCTAAAATGAAAACTCATAAAAAACACTGAAAGGCACAGTATGCCTTAAATGAGTTTTCTTGGTTTCATAAGCTTTTCTTATTTCTCCTTCACAGAGAGCTTCGAAATTAAAATTAGCATTTGAAAAAAAATCATTTAAATTTCTGTTTAGTCGTTATGCTGTACAGGTGCAATTCTGAATGAAATAAATTTACCATCTATTGTCTCAATTTTGACAAGTTTACAATTATACTAACAAAAAGGTGACATATCTTTCACAAATAGAAACTTCTGTTGGAGAAAAAAATCTTAAACATAAAATCCATTTCCATAAATAAATGCAAACAACGTACTTCCTCTCTTTTATACTAATATTACACCATTATGTAAAGCTGTTAATATTATTCCTGGTAGCATCAGAAAGAAATAAAATAAAGGAGTCACTCAGTCATTACTGACTTTCTCTATAAGACCAGACTACATGATAGGGATAAAAAATAAGATCTACTCCAACCAGGAGTATAATGCTTAGTAGAATACATAAACCATATAACAATACAGAATGTGACAAAATACAAAAGGAGAAATGCATTTAAATGAAGAGTCAGGACAGCATGAAAGCATAAGAAATTCTGTTTCCACTTATGTGTAAGCTCTCTGGCCATGTTTGTTCCATGGGTGCTGGATGATAACTAGCTCTTAGCATAGTTATCAGGTACATGTTAAGCGGTCAATAAATATTCAAGGAAAAAAATGGAAAGAATGCTTCATATAGAAAGCGATAACAGACATGAATGTCAAAAGACACATAGAAGTTAAACAGACAAAAAAAGAAGAGTACTCCAAACAGAATAACAGAATGGAAAACACACACCTTTTAACAATTTACCTTTCAGCATTTTACCCACAATATTTTTTTATAAGTTAACATTTACCCAGCTAAAATATCTTAATTTTAAAGAAACAAAATAAATAAAAAGAACTCCAGTACCATGGCATACCTCTCAATGGTCTCTGAGTATTGTAAGTTCAGTCTTAATTACCACAAATGAAACCAAGTATAATACTCACAAAAATAACCTACAGCTCCGAACAAACAGAAATAAAGTATGTATAACCAAACACCATTAAGTTAGATCTAATTAAACTCCATTTTAAAATTAATTTAATAAAATCTAATTTAGTAAAGTTAACTTTATAATAGTCACACTGAAGAAAGAATATAATCTAAGACAGAAATATAGAAAAGAAACTTGATGCCTAAACAATAGCAAAAAAGTCAGTTGTCAGTCTATGTCTGATTACTGTTATCCCAAGTTCTGAGCATGTGATCTTTTGATTCATGGTTTAAGTCAATGATAAATATTTGCTGTGGGTTTGATCAGGCTACTGTGGCTTCACAAAATTTTCTTAAAAGGACCGGTAATAATACATTAAGCTTGTGGGCCACATAACCTGTCACAACTATTTAATTCTGCTATTGTAGCATAAATGTAGGCACAGAATGTTTATAGCTGGATTCTAGGAAATCTTAATTTAAGAAAACTGGCATTTGTCACATATCTACAGTTCACCCACCTTGTCTTAGGTCTCAAAGCAACTTCTAAATAATTCTTTTTATTGAGGGGTTTGGATGTAGTGCTGTGTTAACAACGTAAGCTTAGCATGAGCAAGGCCCTGGATGAAATCTCCAGTAGCAGCAGTAACAACAACAACAATAATAATACTAGTAATTCTTTTACTGAGACAGCTTTACTTTCTTTCAAAGAAAGGCTTTTACATAATTTACAGATACCTAGAAGGCAGATCTTATCTTGTAACACAGATGAAGAAACCGAAATTCAAAGGAGTTAAATGACTTAAGAACTACTAGCAGAGCTTAGTTGAACTAAGACAACCTTTTTATTTTTGGCAGTGCTGGAGATCAAACCCAGGGCCTAGAACATGCTAAGCAAACAGTGTACTATTGAGCTACCTCCACAACCTTGAGACAACTCTTGTTCTTTTGATGACTCTTAAGGATTTTCCTCTACACTCAATCCTCCAATGCACCAACTTAAACATTTCAATCATTTTTAGAATTCTCTCCTGAATCCCTGAACTCTTTTTAGCAGACTCAAGACAGAGTATATTTCAAGAACAAAGACTTTTCTGTCCATTCATTTACTTCAATTCTGAGATCAAATTATTCTCAACTCCCTTCTCTTTATATGATCCTCAGCTTCCCCCATTTAAGCTACCTTCTTGTTCATAAGTCTTCTAAAATATCAATTACTATTTAGTTAGCCAGAAATAAAAAGGTGGTTTTGTAGACTATTTTAATTTATTAAGAATTTTTGGGGGCTGGGGATATAGCTCAGTTGGTAGAGTGTTTGCTTAGCATGCTAAATACCCTGGGTTCAATCCCCAGCACACCAAAAAAAAAAAAAAAAAAAATTTTTGTACTCAGTAATGTAAATGAGGCAACTAAGTCCAGTGCCTGACAGGTATTGAAAAATGCCTGATATATAAACATGAAACTAAGGAGCAATAAAACAAAGAAACGAGGAAATATAATTTACAGTACATACAATACAGATGTACCTTATATGAGGTTTACATAATGCTCTGAATTTTGCATAAATTTTAATAAATACTTAATAACTACAAGTACCTCTTGACATTGTAATAATACAGTTGTTACTGCCATGAAAAAACTTATATTATTAATTCCTTGGCCAAAAACAACTATCAAAGATAGACACAGTACAGAATATTCTAATTGCATTGTAGTTTGCACTGAAAATGTGATCATGCACACTGAAACTGCAAAGTAATCTCTTATTTTTTAAATATTTTTTTTAGTTGGTGACAGACCTTTATTTTATTTATTTATATGTGGTGCTGAGAATCGAACCCAGTGTCTCACTGGGTGCGCTTCCACTGAGCCACACCCCTATCCCCACAAAGTAATCTTAGTTAATGAAAAAAACTACAATTACTGCATGATCTTTAAGATTTATTTATTGTCAAAATGTAAAATAACTGTTATAAATTTATATAGGAAAATAAAAATAATTATTATATTGTAATTTTAAAATATTAGAAACATTGATTAGAATGTTTTATTTATTCTTAAGCCTGGGTGAACTGGAGTATTTCTATGTTGTAATCAACTTTCACCATTTTATCATTTGTATTTTCAGTATCATGGGCTATCTCTGAGTATTCCTTTAATATGAACATCAACAACATCATTTATTCTGGAACTCCTTCATCCTTTATGTCAAATCTACTTTCCTTATTTATGCTAATGAGTTCACCTCATTTAGTTCCTCTGGCTGCATATCCAGTCTCTTGAAAGGCAGCTATCTCAACTTTTCCAGAGCCAGCTACTACCCAGTTACCTTCTACTTTCCAATACACAATTTTTTGGCTGCATTTATGTTCCCTTGCCAATTCCCTCTTTTTTGTTTATAAAATGTTACATGGGCTTATTGTTGGAAACAAGGAAACATTATATCTGCATGCTTTGCTGTCTATGGACAACATGAATAACTAATGCATAGTGACAAATCACTGACAGACAATGTAAAAAGCAATATGATTTGTCACTGATCATGAACACATCCACTGTTATGTAATGATTCTTGGACTAAACAGCCAGCAATAAAATTTGTACTTTATGTAACTAATTATAGTTAATATACCATGATAACTGAAATTTGAACTATAAGGTCAGTGAACTAGTATTATCTAATTGAATCACAGTAACTGAAATACAGGAATCATGTGAAGTAAGGAGTATATTTAAACCAACCCCGTGAAGGCAGTAGAGGGAAATCAACACAGGCAATATTAAGGATTTATGATCTCCAAAAGATGGAGAACACAGAGATGAGTTTCATGCTCCTCTCATCTACTTCTGTGAAGGTATTTTATAAACCACAGAGAATAGCAGACATAGTAATGCAAGCATAAAGAAAGTCTGCTGTTCTGAGAAAGCATAGACTGAAGTTGGATCTGTGCCCAAGTAGAGGGTATCATGGTAAACACATCCACAGTTTCCACCTGTGATCCCAGAAGGGTAATACCTAAGGAATGAGGAAGAAATACTACCAGTAATGGCATTTTCTTCAGAAGCTACAACAAAGTTTATGTTGTCTTAAGTCACAGAATAAGTTACTTAAGTCTAGTGCTAGAGAATTCATGAACAGAGGAACACTGGGAGAGTATAATATAAGGTATGACTAAAAGTAGCCACTGTGAAAATTTGGGCAAGAAGGCTAGAATTAACTTGAACCACCAATTCTAAAATATATCACTTGTTTACATGGTTATGGTTTTATCATGTTTTATAAAGTGGTACTCTGAAATTAAAAACTGCTATAGTTACCATTTTGTAGTCCCATCCAAAGCTGCTTATGATCTTTTTTCTGCATTTCATTGATTACTTGACTTTTATGCTTTAAAGCATCAGCTTCTTTCATACAAGACATAAAATGAGCTTCAATTGCATCCTTAGATGGACAGTGCAGAAGGTCTTTCTCTGGAAAACTCTATCAAAGGGGGAAAAAAAACATATAAAAACAGATATACACACCACAATTTTGCCTTTATAAAGAGAACTGTATCCCTGAATTTTCCAATATTTACCTTCACAATAACCACAAATACTTCTTTAACTTAACTTTAAAATCATTAGCTATTTGTCACATTTTGTACTTTTCCCAAATAATTCTTACATATATTTGTAATAACACAGAAAAGGAGTGCAATAATTTAAAAAACAGCTTTTCAACTGACCACATCAAGAGTTGAAAGGATGTAGAATGGGACTCCCTCATACCAATGATGGGAATGTAAAATAGTGTAACTAGTTTGGAGAAGTTGGTAGTTCTTCTACCAACTTAAAAAAGGTTGGTAGTCCTTAAAAAGGGTAACCACAAACCTACCATCTGAACCAGTCATTTTACAACTATGTATTTAAGAGAAATTAAAGTATATCCCTATACAAAGACTTGTACATAAATGTTAACAACAACTTTATTTTAATAGCCCAAATAATCAACAAGTGAATACATAAAGTATGGTATAAACTTTTATTAAAGTATATACTGTATGTTGAGTTTACTATTCATCAATTACCTCAATAAAATTGTTTAAAAGTTGTTCTTAAAGTAAAATGGCTAAAGTCACATTCTATGACTTCACTTGATATAATACACGTGTATCGACCATTACATTCAAAGTAATCAGCATTGTTATTTCTATTTAAGTTGGTTATTTCTATTTAAGTTCAATTGCTTTCCATTCCAAGCCTATAAAGCAACCACTAAAACCTAAAGTCACAGAATTAGAAAAGAAGTTCAGTGTATTATAAACATAAGACACAATTTTTAATAATTTCTAGAAAATGTTAATTTTGGTATAATTAATCTATAAATTTAAAAATGTTTTTCAATTTCAAAACAAAGATACAATTTTTATTTGTCATTTTAAAAACTGAGCCTTGAGTTGGGAATATAGCTCAATGTAGTACACTTGCTACTATGTCTGAGGCCATGGATAGATCTCCAGAACCACAAAACATACAAATAAAAATAAAAGTAAACTCTAAAATTATCTTTTAGATATCATTCATTCTCTAGCCTATTGCTTATAGTTTGATATTATAAATGAGTGGCTGAAAATATAAATGATCTTATTCCAAAGGAAAAAAAATTTGCCTATTTAAGTACTACTCATATATTTCTTAAAATTTTATGTACAAGTTGATTATGGGAGGGCGAAGCAGTTAGATTTCTCAAAACAGTGGTTGGAGAAGCCTCGAATAAAACACCATTGGGGGTAACTTTTGCTTAGCCTAGCTACTCATCACAACACTACCTATGCTTAAAGAATGTCTCACAACTATAAATGATAGCTTACAACTATAAATGAACACACTTTATAGCAAAAGAAAGTTCTATCGAGAGTGTGCAGATATTTTGTGTATACCCTTAATAGAATGTCCACCTCTATATATACGAAGGCAGTGAGGTCATAAATTATATGAAGTTAAGGGAAACAAGAGCAATAGCAGAAAAAGGAGAGGTCTGCTTAAGCAGCCAAAGCAGTTAAATTGATTGTGGCAAAGAAGAAAGTGATAGATGTCTTAGCTTAAGCCCCACAGCTTCTACTCATGAAATGCTCCTCTTTCTATGATTAGCTTGAGATGGGAATGGAAAGTCTTTTTATAAAACTTCACAATGAAACTAAAAACAGACCCTTGATTCATTACATTTCTAATCTTTTCTAACATGCATTAGCCATTGTATATAAGTGCATTTATTTTCAATCCAAACAAATTCTTCTAGATAAAGGTTTAACTCAGACATCATGTTTACTCTCTTTCATTAATCTTCCAAGTCAGATCCACAATAAATCAAATTTAATTTCACTTTTACAAAAGTAATCTGAAAAGTCCCATTTACTTAGATATTATTACTTGTATTGTTTAATTAAAATATTAATCCAGACTGTTTGGAATGTGTCCAGATGCATTAGAGAGAATGAATAATGTTAAAAGAAAGAAAAAAGGCATTCAACTTATTAGTAACACTGCAGACACAGGGTACTCTGTTAAAACAATAAAGCAAAGCCAAAAATGCATTTTCCTTGTCACCTCTGAAAAATCCAACATCTGATTAAACAAGCTGAAGTTGCCAAAGCATAGCAATGTTATTACTGAGTTACCTCTAAAAGTTGGTTCAACATTTAGACAGAAAAATGAGGTAACATTTTTAAAGTTTACTTTAAAAGAGTGTATTATAAAAAAGAAGCTAAGTTAATTGAAACAATGCTAAAAATCAATGCACCAAAACCTGTTAATATTTCTTAATTTTTTAATTCTATCAAGATACAATCTATACAATTACCTATAATCAACCATCTCTTTTCCTCCTCTTAAAAATCTATGGGATATCTCTCTTCCTGTTTTCCAGATCCCATTTGTTGAACCTTTGGAACCTGGCCCAATTAATTAATCCTTTCCCTTTCCATAGTTATCTTCAGTGATTTTCTCTCTTAATGACTGGTTCCTAACAGTGTTCTTTCATCTTGAAACATAGTAACAGCTACCCCAAACAAAAACCAAACCGGTTCCCTCAACTTCAACTTCTCTTTGGCTACAGCCTTCTATCTCATCTCCCCTTTACATTCAACCTTTAAACTCACCAAGGTCCTTTACTCTTATGAATCTACCACAATATGATTATTATCCTTAAGCACTCCACTGCAGCTGCTCTTTCCAAGGTCAACAATTATACCTTTTGATCTTTATCTGTTTTAAGCACTCACTAAATATCTAATACCTATGATTATTCTACATGAAGCAGTCATCTACAAGATTCTTGTTACTGCCACTTCTCATTTTTCTCTTATGTATTCTTAACCTCTTATGCACATTCCCTTTTCAAATTCCTAGCCTAGGACTTCTTCACTTTTTCATTCCATATGCTCACTCTGAATAAGATTACCTTATTCATCTTCAGACACATACAAATCTAGTAGAATGTTCCACAAAAACATGTGAAATTCAACAAATCCAAAAATAAACCAATGATTTCTCATCTTCCATTTCTAATCTAGCTCTGTTTGGTTTACATTCTAAATAGATCTGTAATTTACTCACTTTCAACATCCCCACTGCCATTTTCTTTGTCCAGACTAAGATCTATTGGTGGTTTCTAAAAAAAATCTCTTTAACTGGGCCCTACTCCTACACTCTTACCCACAAATCATTTTTTACAATCAGAGTGATTGTCCTAAAATGCAAACCTAATGTTCTCATTTCACATGGTTCTAGTTTTAGGATAAAATCAAACTGATTCTAAAGTCTTCAAGATTCTAAATTACTCTGGTCTCTGTTAACCTCTCTGGCATAATCTCTCATTACCATCTCACCCTATTCCTTCTGCACACTAACCCCACACTCCTGCTCCAATGATTTTATCTCATTTCCTTCAACATTCTTTGAGTTCTTTCAGCTATATCTGTGTCCTTACACTATTTCCTCTGCCTAGAACATTCTTTCTCCATGTATCACCTAACCACTTTTACAACTGCCCCCTACCCCCCCCCCCAAAAAAAAAAACCCTCCTTGGTCTTCAGATACAGCTTCTACATCACTTCCTCCAGAAATCTTGCCCTTTCTCTAAGCCAGGGTTAAGGTAACAATATCCTTATCCTTGACTCGATTATGACATTTATTTGGCAGTATTATAATGTCTATTGGCATATTCTTAGGTGACAGTGCCCTGAAAGTTCACAAGACAGAGGCCATGAATGTTCTCACCTCTCTCAATAGGTGTGTGTGTGTGTGTGTGTGTGTGTGTGTGTGTTGCTGAGGACTGAACCCAGAGATGCTTTACCACAGAGCTACATTCCCTGCCCTTTTTATCTTTTATTTTGAGACAGGGTCTCACCAAGTTGCTGAGACTAGCCTCAAAGTTGCAATCCTCCTGCCTCGGGCTTGCTGGGACCAAAAGCATCCACTACTGCATCCAGTCTCAATAATTTTTAAAACCTTCACCGGGATATAATTCACATACAATGAAACACAGGAATTTAAGAACACAGTTAGTAGAGCTTTATCCCAAACCAGGTAATGGAATATTACCATTGACCCTCTCTTCCCACTCTGCCAAAAGTTATTTTGTACCTCTTGCATTCATTTCCCTCCTTCCCACCCAATCAACTGATATGATCTGTAACACCAGAGATTAATTTAGTCTGTTAAAAAAAAGTCATATAAATAAAACCAGACATGTAGTGTTGTATAATCTATCATCTTTCACTTAGCATAATGCTTTTGAGAATCATTCATGTTACTGCACATCAGTAATTAGGTCTTTTTTGTTGCTGAGTAGCATGCCATTGAATGAATGTTTCACAATGTGTTTATCCAAAGATCTCTTAAAAGATATTAGGATTGTTTCCAGGTTTGAACTATTATTAATAAAACTACTATGAACATTAATATACACAGTCTCTTTGTAGACACTGCCTTTTCATCTTTCTTGAATAAACATATGGAAACAGAAATGCAGGGTGATACAGTCTAAGTGTATATTTAACATCATTTAAAAACTGCCAAACTGTTTTTCAAAGTGACAGAACAATTTTAAACTCTCATCAGCAAATTATGACAGTTCTGGTTACTCCATGTCCTCAAACTTAGTACTTGGTGTCAGTCTTTTTCATTTTAGTCACTCTATTGAGTGTAAAGTAACATCTCATTGTGGTTTTAATTTACCTTTTTCCCTAATGACTAAATATGTTCAGTGCCTTTTCATGTGCTGGTTGGTAATTCATATGTTGTTCTGCAAAGTTTCTGGTCAAGTCTTTTACACTTGTTCCAAAGCAACTGATACGTTAGGAAACAAGCTGAATGCAATGTGAATTGCGTATACTTAAATAAAATAATGTCCATAATAGTAGGAAAATTGCATCCAGATAAACCAAACTGCATAGGAATACAGAACACACACACACACAGAGAGAGAGAGAGAGAGAA